TCTGACAGAGAAAGCCGTCGAGTGGAAGATGAAAGAGGTGAAGAAAGCAGGCATGAAGAATACTGCTATTAATATCAATTTGAATTTCGATTACTTTAAGAACTCGCTGCTATATGGATAAGCTATACTATGTATATACTACACACGCTTCTGACATTCTCAACAATTCAAGATATGAAAAATTAATAAATAATGTCAATAAAAATCATTCAAGCGAACCTCATTCTTAAATCACCGGCAAGTGGAAACTAAAATTACATTTCTATATACCTACATCCATGCGTTTCTGTTATCTCGAAGCAGGATCACTCTTTCCGACACCAAGATTTTCTCGTACAGAATATTCCTGCAGAAAGCAAAGCACTCCTTCAACAATTTTCTTTGGATTAACTGATAACTAAATTCAATCAGCAAATTAATTAGAGGCTGAATGCGAGACCATTAATTCTGACCCTTGTGATGTGTCTGACGTAAAAGAACGATAGCAGAGACGCGATGTTTACAATGCGAGATAAAATTCTTACTATACGTACGTTTGTAAAGAGCATTCGCTTACATAAAGTACAATTAATAAGCAATTTTTCGTTTTTGAAACTCATCCTCAAATCTATATAACATTTGAAACGAATTTGAGTATCTCAACTCATAGAGGCTCTTACATAAATGAATGTCAGGTTCACAGGAGAGAAATTATGAATAAGTTTCATGTCTAATAGCTTTTAATTGATATCTTCAAAGTAAAAAATCTGCGTTGCACTATTTTCTGACACAGGATGATTTATTATAAGGAAAATAGAAGTACTTACAGCCAAAAACATCATCATCACATCACGCAAATTCAAAACATAAAAAAATGAAATTTTTGAGCAGCCTCCACAGCTACATGAGAGGTCCAAGAAGTAAAGAGAATTTCATGTAAAAAAAGGCCTTCTATAAGGCCAGTAATGAAGGATGGTTCCGCCCCATGGCTTATATCGAAGGATGCGCCATGGAAGTTTCTTGCACTCACACTTCCAGTGTGAGTGCAAGGAAGTTAGAACATCACCTAGAAAGCACATCACCTAGACTGGGTCTGAAAAAATATCACAGATTGCTCAGTAAACTTCGCAGAATAAAGTTTGTAGTTTTAAAAACACAATCACAAATCTCATCAGTTTCCAGCAGTTGATAAGATGTCGGTAAAAAGATAGATACAATTATATGAATTTAAAGAAAAAACGCGAGTGGACGATTGTATTAAAGATATTCACAAATAATATTTATTACTTGTACACATACGCGCATTACATTCTACGATTAATTCAAAATAAATTACTATTAGATATTAGGTAATTCATCCAGATACTAAAAATCAACAACTTTTTATATTATTCATCCTTAAAGAAATAACACCTCAAGTGACAAATCGAATTTTGATAAAGCAGACTAAATATTTTCCACACAAAAAAAAAATATAAGCGACTTGTATTCTCTGACAAGCAAAGCGGAAATCGGACGAGGCTGCTAGTTGGCTGCCACAAGCGAGTCCATTACTCGCCAGTATTGTTTTTCAGATGAAATAACGAAGAGCTCGTTTGCGAAAGGACTGCCAGGCGCCCGTCACTATTAGCCATTGCGTTAAATGCAGTGAATATCGCACGCTACAATATCACGATAACCAAATCTTTCCTGGTATGCTTGCCAGTTAGACAGTGAAATTTTAATGGAGTTTTATATATAATTCTACACAGAAGCAAAGCATTAAAATTACAGCAAAAATTGTATGGTACTAGGAGTAAAGCATATAATATCCTAATATCCAACTAATTTTCCCTCTGATTTAAACCACCTATCTGATTGACACCGATCGGACAGCGTCATTTGAATGACGGACTGATAAAAATTGGACACAACGTCAAATTCAATTCCAAACACAGCATATGATCGACCAAGTATTAGGCTAATTACAAAAGAAGCTGAAAAGCTGATTTTAGTAATGCATAGTGCTTATGCCCAACTTGCAACCTTCATAAAAAATTATTTTGAAAAATCTTAAGTTATTAGAAAGCTGATTTACATAATGCACATATTGCGCTAGTTAAATTGCATAGACTAGAATAACAAATCATACGTGTCCCAGTCGCTACAATCAACTTTATCAATGCGAGGGTTAAGTCCCAATCAATTACCAGCAGGTGACGATCATCTTTGGACTAAAATACAAAGATATCACCCCCCTCCATCCTCACTCCCTCCTGAGTGAGGGGTTGTCACTCAGGGACAAAACAGAAATTTTCAAAACAGAAATTTCTAACCAACTTGTTAACCAAAAAAATAATCATCAGAAGAGGGAGGAGAAAGTTTTTAAATACCGCGAATTAATCATACTTACCCAAAATAGCTAAGCCTGCTACATGACAGGTGTTTTACAAGCGAGCTGAAGCAATGATTGCCAGATCTAACAGGCCTAAGAACAATGTAAGGAAGCTGGGTCTGGATTAGTGGTTGATTGCTTACAAATAAGTAGAGGTCTTAAAAATATAAAAAATCATTTTTTATCTTAATCGTGTTGTAAATGGTCTCAATTTTTATGGTAAAACAGATCAAACACTAACCAATAACAATGTACGCAACGAAATAAAAAATTAATCAGAAGCGACACATATCATTCGCTGAAGTATGCGCCTCTTCTGGCTATGTATATTATAGGTTTTGCAAAAATTTCAAGGGACTAATTTCTTGCATTCTTCAATGATAAACGCAACTTGTTATGACGGCCCTGCTGCATATACAGTGGGGGGAAATAAATATTCGTACACTTGAAAAATCGTATTTTAATGTATGTAAGTACACAAACTTAACAGGAAAAGTGATTTAAATTATGTACTATGCGTCTCTATACATAATTTAAATCACTTTTCCTGTTAAGTTTGTGTACTTACATACATTAAAATACGATTTTTCAAGTGTACGAATATTTATTTCCCCCCACTGTAAAGGAAGCAAACGACGAGCATTAGAACTGATTGAACTGAAATTAGGAAAGCCTGTTCTTTGCTTCATTTGTCAACTACATACCTATGAATTACTTCACCTTCATCTTATATATATATAAACTCTTTTGACGGAAGAATATCTTCTTCGAAAGGTTTTACAAGCATAATTGGTTCAAATCTTGTAAGTTTTAGAAGTTTTAGCGTTTATTTCAAGATTTTTACATCGTTTCTGGTTGATACTTAACAATCAGGGCGTAGTACAGATCAAAAACATTCTTACAATATTTACAATTGTACACAATAAGGAAAAATAGCCGAAGAAATTTCAAACAAGAACACAGGAAAGTTATCTTCTCTCGGTGGGTGGCGTTTGCTAACCGCTTTTCCTGACAAAGTTTCAGCAATTGAACCAGATGATATTCTATAAAATTTAGTTGCATTAATTATGAAAGCTAATGCCCCCGTTTGGTTTGAAATTGAACTACATCCAATTCCAAGGAACGGAGCTTCAAATCTTTCAAAGGCAATTGATTCATCTTGGAAAATGACTAATGATGTCAAACATTCATCATGCAGTTATCAAGCGAAATGAAACTTGCGGTTCCGTACGCAGAGAACTTTAAGTGCCACAAGTTTTTAACCCAGCAAACTTGGCCTAGGTGATATTAATGATAATTTATGAGTGTAATAAATTACTTGGATCGAAATGAATCAAGGATCATCTAAGATGTATGAAAAATCTCTGTAATAACTTATTATATTCTTGAAATTAGCTTCGATTCTACATCATACATCGACCTCATGCATCATATATTGCTCTCGTTTCGAGGCAAGTGTCACTGAGCCTCCGTTAACACCGCCAGGTCTTTGCTGGAATTGCTAATGTTATGGTATTTAGATAGACAAAAATATATTTCCCTTGCAAACCGCAAGCTGGAGGAAAGGTTTGTTGGTAACTGAAGCTTAATCTTTGTCATGGATTCCAATTAAGGGATATTTCTAGAATAAACTAGAATAATAAAGGCGAGTTTTGGTACAAAACTCATCTTGCGACTGTCAACTAGCTCATATGGCTATGGTGGGACCTGTAATGCAACTATACCTCCCTCGTGGAGGGGCCCGGATAAACTGTGGCATAAACTATTATAGGTTAACATTAAATCGAGGACCCCACAAATTCTATCGATCCATTAGCTTATTTTAGTAATTTCTAACATGTTTATATTGTATATCAATTTTGCGTTTCAACTTTGACTTATTTTCACACATCTCCAAAACTCGGCGCATCTTATGACGCATGGCTGTTTTTGTAAAAGTACGAGCTAAAATTTTACCAATTGTATTTCCCAGCATCACGTCACTAAAATTTCACTATCGGAAATTTTTTTCATGAAAGTTGAAAACCCCCTATTTTTGTTCCAGCGTAAGGCACACGCCTTCTCTAGGAAATCATCCTACGACACTCTTTTTGAAAAATAAAAAATCCCTTGCCTTTGAAGCATCAAATATATATTTTCCACATAAAATTAATTAAAGGTGCTCACCATAAATACCGTTTTAATATCAAATAATGTTCTCAAAGGTTATAAGATCAAGTATGATAAATTAGCGGTAATCACGCAGCCATCCATAGCCACTGCATGCGTCCACAATAATATAAAAAAAACACACGACTAATTGACGCTACTCACCTAAGACGAAGCCATCCTTAGCATACTGCACGCGGCCACAATAATATAAAAAAATTCCCCACACGACTAATTGACAGTACCTACTCACCTAGTGCGAAGCCGTCCTTTACCCACTGCACGCGTCCAAAATAAAATATAAAAGCCCCACACGAGTAATTGACAGTACTCACCTAGGACAAAGCCGTCCTTAGCCCACTGCACGCGTCCAAAATAAAATATAAAAGCCCCAAACGACTAATTGACAGTACTCACCTAGGACGAAGCCGTCCTTAGCCCACTGCACGCGTCCAAAATAAAATATAAAAGCCCCACACGACTAATTGACAGTACTCACCTAGGACGAAGCCGTCCTTAGCCCACTGCACGCGGCCGCCCTGGTTGCCCACTTCGCACTTGAGGACGGCGGTGGAGCCTTGCTTCACCTGCAGGTCGGAGGGTCGCTTACGGAAGTGCTGTTTCTGCTGACACTCCGCTGTAGGTGCAAATAAAATCTTCCGTTATTAGACAATTTAAACCTGCGCTGATGAATATATGTAGAAAGCGGCAATATATTTTGAATATTATATTGTAAGCAAAAGACATTCGAAGATAGATGTATTTCTTATGCTATAAGCAATGTGGTAAAAACTAATTTTTGTTCCTTTCCACAAATGCAAACCAATAATTCATAAAATGATGATAACTCCGCAATAGCAAAGACAGCTTAATTCGTAGCAGCATACAGCATAATATGCCACCAATGTAATACTGAAATATATGATAAATAAAATAAACATAACCCCAAAAAATTACGTCAATTTTGAAGCCCCAAATTTTTACGTGGATCGAACATCAAAATTATGGCCTCGGCGGTGAACTCAGGCTTGGTTATATTTCCCTTGAGTCGGCAATGCACTCTCGTAAATTTTCGGCAGGCAAAACTCATCTATCACTTGTAACACCAAGACAAGATATTTTCTTAAGAGCTCTTCAGGCACAGAGAGCAGTGGCAGGCCAGCATCCGGTGTTCGGAGCTGTAAACACTCGAGAAATCCTTGGCCAGCCTGCACCAACATCCTCGTGTTGCTTCTAACCTCATAAAACAACTCTCAAGTAGCACGCTTAACGTCGTGCCTCTCCAACTCCATGTCCAACTATCGACCAATGCACCTAAATAAAGCTAGTATCGGCAGCAAGACACAACTCTTAAGGGCTTCACTCAAGCATAAATTCGTTCGACATGCGTGTACTTGGGAAACTCTTCTCGTCATCCCAAAACATCGGAAGTTTATACGGAGGTATGGATCGTGAAAAATTAATCGAATGAGGTGCTCTTGCATATCTATAGTGTCGGGAGCCTCATCGAAAATATCTGAAAAATATTAACCATGAATAAATTACTCGACAATCTGATCAGCTGTACGCGCAAGTCCCGAAAAACTATTGGCTGACGTTTCTTTCAGAAAAATGGTCATGCGTATTGATCGGCAAGCGTGCTTCGTACCTTCGCTCGAAAGACGAAAAATTCCTTCGACGACGCCAGCTGCCGAACGTGCGCTACACTCTAGTACGAGTGGCATACAGCACGTCTCGTACACGATCGTTCCTGCAGCTCAAGATCGCAAGTCACGGAAATTTCACGGAACCACAACCGGAATCTGTCGGCAGCGGTGCATAACTGCCTTAACTGCCGAAGCAGGAAAGGAGACAGCTCGTAAAACACCTAAAATGTGTCATAATGGCGACAAAATGACAAACTAATATTTATTTGCACTGCAGTCTAAAAGCAGGTAAAAACATTCTATTGAACCTATGAAATTAATTTTCGCTTTACTTTGCTTTGGTAAAAACAATTTATTAATCAAATTGAACGATTAAAAGACTTGACTAGCACGTGTTAGCAAGCAAGTAAATTAAAGGTAAGAGCATGAACCCTCAGTAATACAATCGAAGAACGTTAGGTAAAAATCTTGAATAATAAATGCAGTTCATAAATTGCAACGCCGCAAGTCAGAGAACCAAGATGGCACGAACAAAGGCAAACGCGGTAAGGTAGTTTGGCAGGAGATATGACAAGATCCTAAAGATAGCGAAGCAGAACTCCTACGAACAGGTAACGGGCACCATGGCAGGTAAACAATGGGTAAACACCTGCCCATGCCAGACACCAGCTCTAAACAAACCGACGCCACCTCAGGTCGTCAAGTCTAAATATCACCCTACAGAACAATGTTTGGCATGCATTTTCATTGCAAATTTAACGATTTTTTCAAACATCTCAAAACAAACTTCATGATTGATCATGTATACCAAGCAAAAAATATAACTACAACTAGTTTTTAGATTATTACATATATAGGTAATAATCTAATAATAGGTAGATAACAGGTAGATGAATTTGTTCAAGCAATTTTTTGTGAAACTCGATTAAAAAAACGATTGTTTGTTCATTTGTATTCATTGAAGCAATTCCATTATTGAACAGACCTAGAGAAACAAACTTCGTGGTTTACAATTAGCTATCATTAATCAATGGTTTTGCGCGAACTTAGACCTGATTTTACAAAAAAAAATACACAATAAAAGTATGATGGAATAAAAAAACACCTGATTGAGTTCACGATCGGAAAACCTCGGAAAGGAAACTTGCGCTAAAAAAATTCGTCGCACAGGAAGTATCTAAAACTCGCCGTGAACGACACGATAGATGTAACGAAAAAATGCCATGCCCGCTTGCATCGCCAAACAAAAGGATCAACCCTCAGTGAAAGTTAGACAATGGCTTCCCGCTTCGCTAAAAAGGCTGTCGCGGTGTCTGCCTGGCTGGCAAGGGAGGATTCGACTTGGCGCTCTCGGTAAGGCGAGAAGCGGCATTAAGAGCAAAAGCGTGTAGCCTCTACCGCAGCGCTGCCCCCAAGATACAGATTTTATTCATCGCTCTCATAAGGAGCGCCTCATAAGAAGTTCACAGCTGTTGTAAATTAAAAAAGAAATTATGGCACAGACTCGTGACAATTCAAGTGCAGTATACTAAAATAAATTAAATTAGTTAAGTTTCCAAGAAATTAAATGACAAGAAACGTTTCACGACATTTCTTAGCAATTGACTCTTCAATATTACGAAACAAGAGAGCGATCGTCGGGAAGAGATAAATTGACTGTCCACATTGGACTTTTTCGCTTTCATTATGATGGTGAAAATTAAAATATAAATATAGCCCTCGCTGGAAACAGATTTAAGTATCACTTGAGGGCATTAAATAACATGAACGAGTGCAAAGATTGAGGATTGAATTCATCGAAAATGCATTGTTCAACACTAAAAAAGCAACATAACTCTGACGGCGCTAGCATTTCAAATTTCAAGTGAATGGCATGGACAAGAAAATTTCTGGAAGCAAAATCACAAACCAAGAGTAAACACAGATAATGAAAATACAATACAAAAATTTTCATCGCCCATCAATAAATACTGAAGAAAAGCCCGCAAGAAATTGGCCCTCCTGAGCGGGTTTATGAAGTGCAAGCGTTTGTGTGGGGACATCATTCCAGGTGGATTTGGAGGAACGCACGCCAATGTAGGACAAAGTTCAGGTTAAGTTTTGGGCAAGTTGTTCCATGGCAGCACGAGATTAGGGGACGCCACACACCAAACTTTGGCTCTTCCGACCAACTGGTGCCAGGTTTTCGCCTCAACCATTTCTCAGTGAGCACAAATAATTCCCGCAGGGCCTGACCAAACAAACTCTGTTTCTCCAGCCTTAGCAGCGCGCGCTCGCTCTCTCGCTTCTTCCCGGTATGCCGTGCTGTGACCAAGGCTAAAATCACAGGCGGTTTACAGACGGCAGATGAATAGACGAATGTAAGTCGCCGCAAATAATAAGTTAATTTTCAACGGAGTAAGAACGCAAAAATATTTGACACGTTCCGCTACTCGACCACACGGCAAGAAGCTCATCATACTGTTGCAAAAAAAAAAATAGATATAAAAAATATATTTTTAAAAACCAAGTTTTTCTGGTGTTTACAAAACTAAAAACAATGAAATAAAACAAATAAATAAATTTAAAAAAACGTTTTCTTAACGGACAAAAAAGAAAAACATTAACTCTTGCATAACATTAAAGTTATGTAAAATGTAATGTAATGTTATGTAAGAGTAAATGTTTTTCTTTTTTGTCCGTTAGGAAAACGTGGTTTTTAAAAGTTTTTTTTATTTGTTTTATTTCATTGTTTTTAGTTTTGTAAACACCAGAAAAACGTGGTTTTTTTAAATTGTTTTATATTTACTTATTTTCTACTTTTTAGTTTAGTAATTTTAGCAGTTCAAATCAATTTCCAGGGTTGGCAAGTCTGGATGTTCGACAAAAAAACTCGATTCCCAACCGTGTATTTTTAGGGTTTTATCATTTTTTTTTCAATAATTTTTTTTAAATTATTACTTCTGATGATCAAATCTTGAATTGTTAATGCAGCATAAGCATGAATGCCAAATTTCAAGTTTCTAGGATCTTCAGAAGTGCTCTAAATTAAGGTTTGAATTTTTAATGACAGACAGACAGACACGAAGCGAAACTAAGAAAAAGGTGGTAATAAGGAGCGTGAAGTTTTTTGACAAGAAGACGAATGGCATCCTATTGTGCCAATAATAATCAGCCAACAAATGATTCTTTTAACGCCTGATTTCAACAGCTAAAGGAAATAAGAACACTAAAAGAAATTGAAAAGAAAACATTTGCAGTAATTTTAGACAATATGTGTAGGATACTACTATGGACGTGAATGGATTCAAAAAGAGATGATTAAATTAATATCAGAATCATATTTCGCACCTGCAGAATATTAGAATTTTTTCAAGTCATAGAAATCTAATTAGCACATTTCAGTCATTAGTAAGTGCATGCATGGAAAATTCATGCTTTCTGATTAGCAAGTACAACAACACCTACAGTCTAATTAGGATGCAAACAACAGGACGCTGACAGCAACAAAAATCTCATCATATTCAGGTGAGCGAAAGAAAAACCATTGATAAAAATACAGAGATGACAAATGGCACTGACATGGAGTCTCTAATTCAATCGAGTCGATAAACAACTTGAGATAAAACACTCGCGTAACAAAGCCGGCGCATACAATGAAAATTATCAATAGCAAAGCAAGTTTACAATAAAGAGAAGATAAATCCCGTCCAGAGTGAGAAATGGAATAGTCGTTAACTATTCGTGAATTAATTACGTTAGCAATCGTGTGAAATGTCGGATAAAATTAGAAACGATTCTGGCGTGATGTTCGTTCAGCCTGTAAATCCACTACAGGTTTAATTAAATCACAGAGGTAATAGTAAATACAATCAGCCAGAGGTCAGCAACTCGACATTGTTGGATGAATTACATTTTGTTCGCCAGTTTTGTGTTGGGGCAACGAAACCAAGAATAATGCGAAATGATTGCGCGCTGAAATTTTTTCACAGATTGTGCACTTTTTTTAGTA